ACAATATCCATTCCACTTATTGACTGTTTGTTATCCGAGCTAAAATCTAGGTTTTCTAGTCATCAATCTGTTGCTTTACTTGGCCTCTGTATTGTACCTTCAGCAATGCTAGTTATACCTGTTCTTGAATTTCTGACACAATCATCTCAGTTGGCTGACAAGTATAAGGATGATCTATTTCCAATTTCCTTCGCCAGTGAACGAGAGTTCTGGAAAGTTAAGTGGCTGAGATTTGCTGAAGAACACGAAACTACTAGCCTCCTAAGTGACTTGGCAACCACGCTCTAACAAGTCTCCTCGATGTATATGAACATAACAGTCCTAATAATTCTTGCCACTCTTCCTGTAACTACGTGTTCTGTTCAAAGGTCAATTGGCTTGCTTTAAAGGACAGAGACGCCTATTTGTTCAACGACTACTACAGAGAAACTAACAGGCTTAAGTCTGCTCCATATCCAAAAAGTTATCATTATCGATGTAGAGGGAGTCATTGATGAATATAGTTGAGCAAATCCCAGAAGAATGCAAGTGGCAGACATTCTTACGGACTAACTAATCACTACCACAGTCACTGCTGTCATACATTCCTTAGTTACCTTTCTTGTTTTCTGTTAGAAAAAAATTATAGAACCAGCCAATCCCACATACTGCAATACACGTACACGTCAGCTTACACTGCACATGCACCATATGTCCCACCATATTGGCCGCAAACTAATGCATTTTGCTGCCGTAAAATGGGGTGTGGCCAAAATTGCGCCGCACTTCACACACCCTCGGCACCCCTCTCTTTCATTTTCTGGATATGCCAGTGAGTCAGACTGCATTTTTTGTGCTAGTAAGTACCATTATAATGTATGAGTGTGTGAACTAAATAATAATGATTACCGTAGCATGTACAATGTATATACCGTATATACTCAAAATGATGCCTCCTTCAAGTAAACACTGACCTGAAATTAATGCCCAGGCACTTCTTTCATGTTAGTTAAGAAACACCCTGTCTAAACAACTACCCTAGTTCAATTTTACGCCCTTATTGCCACACCCAACATGCGTACTGTCATGAGGCAAAAGAGTGGAAGAGCAAGGTTTAACAGCGGATTAAAACTCAGGAACGTAGACGTTTCTTTTAAATTGAGAGCCATTGAAGTGGCATAAAGGTTCAGTAAAGCAGCAGCTGCCAGACAATTAAAGTTTACAGAAATAGGATAAGAGAATGGTGCTTTCAAATAGACAAGCTTATATTGTTAAAATTAGATTGAAAAGCAAAAAGAAAATGGATGAATGTAGCAGGAAGGTGACCAATGGATGAAGAAATAGAAGACACCTCACTTCAGTGGATTTGTGATACGAGACAGCACAGTCTTTATGTATTATGCAAAACAATAAAGCTAAAAGCCAAAACCTTGGGTAATCCTTCCTTTAAAGCAAGTATAATGGTTGGTTGAGACTATTCATGAAGCGCAAAGGTCAATCTTTGCGACGTAGAACAACAGTTAGTCAAGACACACCTAGTGATGTCACCAAAAATTGTGAGTTAAATTGGACATCTTTGTAGTCTTCAGTGTGACAAAAACTTCAGTTACACTAATATTTATGCTATGGATGAGACTTCATGCAGGATGCACTTGCCAGGAAATAGTACCAGTCACACTTCAGGTTCTCGTACTGTATCACTTAAAACAACTGGCCACAAAAAGGACCATTTTACTGTTGCTCCAGTGCTAAAGCTGATGGAACTACTAAGTCAAAACCATTTGTTGTTTTCAAAGGAAAGGGAACTCGATTATTAATGGATCATTCCAAAATTCAAGGAATAGCAGTGAGGTTTAGTTTTAATTGTTGGTTTAATGATTATTACACGAGAGTATCTCCACTCACTTATTGGTAATTTCTCCTTTGGAAAATGTCTTTTGATATGGGATGCATATAAATGTCACACAAGTACTGCTATACTGGAATGGAAACGGCTTGTTTACGTCTACATACAGCAGTAATACCAGGTGGTCATACAAGCTTTATTCAAACGGCAGATGTGTCATGGAATGCATTTTTTTAAGCATGCAGTCATTTGCTTGTGCACAGTTATTTTATTGAAATACCAATACCAAGAGTTAAATGCAGTTCAAAAATTTATTTCATTGATTATATATTTGGGGCATGCTTCAAAGGGAGGTATGTTTGCTACATTTAATATTACTGCATTTAGTATGTGATTCAGGTTTTCTCAAGATTTAGACCATTTGAACTGGTTCTTTGTCATTCCACCCTAATTTCTTTGGTTAATGCTTTTGGTAAAGATCATGACCTTCTTGTTAAAACATGGCATCAGAATATCACTGAAACACTTTGCCCAGTTGATGCTAGTACTATGGATGTATGTCATTATGTCAGATAATAAACTGTTTATATACATAATATTTTAGGGCATACTTGAGCCAGTAACTATTTTGATGGAAGATGATGATTCTGAGAATAACGATGATGAGGATGATGATGAGGAATATGATGAACTTGAATTTGATTAGACTAGTAATTACAATGAATATGAGTTGAAAATGAAGATGCCCATTTATGATGATGATGATGAATGATTGTCTAGAGTTTCAGATGCTTCTAGCAACGACATAGATGATGATGAAATGGAACCACCTCCTTTCTCTCAAGTTGAAAAAGAAGCAGATTTAGAACTCGTGGAAACTTGAATTGATAATTGCTTGGATTTATCTGAATGTAATTTGATGTATCAATTGGTTGGAGACAATGTAGATAAAATGTCCATCCACATTATTGTCGAATAGACCATAAACCAAATCATTGCATTACTATCATTCATATGCTATTCTTGATAGAATGAATGTTTCTGATTTATCTTGTGTACACCATTATACTTGCCACCAACAAATATAGAACCGAGTCCTTACTACCTACTGCAATGGATGACCAAATTCTGAAATCTAATATAAAAATTGCTTGCAAGCATTCTCAGTAGTACATTGCCATGGTTCAATGTACTATTTTCACATTTGATTGTAAATCATAATAATTCCCCACAAAAGAACAAAAGAAATGTCTATAAAATCTTGCATAGTAAGTATACATGTTTGTCTTATTTGTTAAAATAATTGCATTGCATTAGGTTCCACTAGGTGTACTTCCAAAGATAAAAATAAAGTTAAAGAGATGACAGAAATTCTTGGGCATTTACACCTAAGACTGAAATTGTGTCAGAAGAAAGTATTGAAGTCGTTACAGCTGTAACACAGACAGTACTTCTTGGAGATGAGTTATCTCAGGCAAAGGCTCGAATTGCATTGAAAGTGAAAAAAATAGTGAAAGTCCTTCATCAAGGCTGGAAGGTTTTCTTTTGACTATTGAAGATTGGCATACCAAGTTAACTTTGTATGAGGTAAAACAGATTAATCTTTTCATGAGCATAGAATTTAATTGCAATGTTGATAGGTCATATGGAAGTATTTCATGTCAGATATGTCAGCTGCAGAACATGGAACTATATACCGTATTAGAATTGAGCTTGGTCGTTCAGATGTTGGAAAAACTAAAGCAAAATTAAATTCATGCGAGGATTTCATGGCAGTTGTCATGCATAGCTACATAACATCTGCTACAATGGAAGTTTTGGGATTGAAATCAATTGAAGATTGGCCCTAATCAATTCAAGATAATATATGAACCGAGGGTGATGATGAGCTTTGTCAACAAATGGATTTAACTTTGAATATAGTAGTAGATCCTCATATAAGTATCGAATTCAACTCCTCATATAAGACCACAAAAGATCATGCTTCTGAATATATAAAGCAAGTAATGAGGATTAGTTCACTTGTCATGGAGTTCGTTGATGCCATAAAGGAGGGGGATGGAGTTAGGGTACTTCGTTGTTGGCGATACTTGTTAGTGATTTTTTGTAATTCCTACAAGACGAATCATGCCGAAGAAGCACTTTTAATAATTCATTAGTATCACTAATTGTTATCACCAGAATTAGCTGAGCGATTGATTTATAGCAGATTTGTAAATCCTGCTGGCTTAATAGGAAGAAATATATCAGCTGACTTGCACATAGAGCATTTAAACAGACTCCTACAAAATGGAATTGCTACTCTTCTAACAAAACTGAAGCATTTATAATATGTTTAGGCAAAGCTCTTGGTACAATTGGGCCAGTTCTAGAAAATTATGATGCCATTGATGACATAAATCATCATTGCAATAGGCAAAATCCAGCAGAATTTAAAAGAGATGTCCACAAGGTCATTGATTGATTTGAACCGTTAGAATTATTTGAGAATAAATCAAACAAAAAGTTTCATACCTTTTCAAACCCGAAATAACTACTACACAAGTCATCAATGAAAGACCTCACAGATTGGATAGCAACTCACATATAGTCTATTTTTAAGTTAAAATCTTATTATATTAACAATAATTACAATAACAAAAATTAATGATCTATTGAAATAATCTATTGCTGCACATATCACAGCACTTTACAATATGTGGGTTGGGTATGTACCCCTCTAGTTTACTATGTGGTGCGATGTGAGGTCAGATGACATCACAAGTCAACTTATATAAATTAAGAAATTTAGCTCTCTTATTCATTCCTTTTCCAGTGCATTTCATTCCATTCATTCCATCTCTCGATTCTTCTTTCTCGTTCTCTCTACTCTCTCGTCTCGTTTCATCCACTCAATATTGTCTTCCTCAGTCCACTCAGTGATGTCTCTTATAGACTCTCTAGTTATCGATTGATCTGTATGCTAGTATCATTATTATATCATTTCTGTACACTATTATTATATACTCCTCTTCACTTCTCAAATCTAATCTTTCCCTCTCTCCTTTGTATTCATACACCAAGCAGTAGTACATACACTACTAGCAACAATTTGAAAAAGATCTCATTTTTATTGACCGCCAGTTTATCGAAGATAGCGACCGCCTCATTTGGTGACCTGGACGACTGGTTGGTCATGGCTGATGGTGATGAAGACAGCTCTAGCTCTGGTGCTAGTGGGAATAGTGCTCCAGCTACCGTATTGTATGTTTCTCTCAAGCTAATTCCTTACTGGCCTGCGGATCCCTTAATCTGGTTCGCCCAGGTTCAGGCTCAGTTCGATACTAAGGGGATCTCTTCTCAAAAGACTAAGCACGACTACGTTGTCAGTTCCTTGTCTCCTGACATAGCTACAGAGGTACACGGCCTCATCATTAAACCCCCTACCTCAGATCAGTATAAGGCATTGAAAGCAGCACTGATTCAACGCATCACTGCCTCACAACAGCTACAAATTCGACAGCTGTTTCAAGGAGAAGAGCTAGGAGACAGGAAGCATATCCAGTTGCTCCGTCGTATGGAACAGTTGCTGGGAAACCAGGGGTCAGAGCATACTGCTACAATGCTCAAGCTCTTTCTACAACACCTACCTTCTAATGTTAGAATGATATTGGCCTCAACCCCTGGAGACAATACTGTAAAAGACTTAGTGACTCTTGCTGATAAAATAGTAGAAGTGACGGGTCCCTTTTGCCCTACTCCAATTAATAATGTCTCCACTCAGGAGGGTGATAGTCAGCTAGCTACTGAGCTTACTAAGTTACGTGAGGAGGTAGCATACTTAAAGAAGATTGTTCGCTTCAACAGTTGCTTGCCCGCCTCTCGAGGACATCATCGTTCACATTCCCTGAGGAGTGACTGTGACTCCCCTGCCCCGCGGCAGGCCTCTGATTTGTGCTGGTACCACGAACGGTTTAGGGATCAAGCCAGGCAATTTTAAGAGCTTTGTTCCTGCTGCTCGGGAACACTCCAGCAGCCATTAATGGCGACCGGCGTTGCTGGCCACACTCTTCTAGTCGCTTATTCTATATTTATGATCCTTCTACTGCTCTAAGGTTCCTCGTTGACACTGGAGCAGAGGTGAGTGTCATAACTCCCTCTGTCTTGGATAAGCAGTGTCTACAGAAGCTCACTCTCCAGGCAGCTAATAACTCTTCCATCTCTACATATGGCAAGAGGTCTCTCACTCTCGGCTTAAACCTCAGACGCAGTTTTCAGTGGGTATTTGTCATTGCTGATATTGCTATGCCTATACTGGGAGCTGATTTCTTACATTTTGGTTTGCTGGTGGATATGCAGTATAACAGGCAAATTGATAACAACTCATTTAGAGGTGAAAGGTCGACCTGCAAGACAACTGGCTCTTTGTCTAACGTTACTGCCCTCTTCACCATGGAGTGCTGTTGAAGCAATACTGAAGGACTACCCTGTGGTATTTGCAGACCTCCCCCAGCAACCTGTTAAACATACTGTCACACATCACACACAAACCACAGGACCTCCCATCCATTCAGCCACCAGAACACTTCCAACAGCTAAATTAGATATTGCTAAAAAGGAATTTAACCATATGCTACTTGGAATAATCAGGCCTTCTTCTAGTTGTTGGTCTTCTCCACTACATATGGTACCTAAGAAATCCGGTGACTAGCGTCCCTGTGGCGATTATCGTTCTCTTAATGCCTGACTGTGCCGGACAGATATCCCATACCGCACATTCACGATTTTTCGCTTCTCTCTAA